CAGCAATGGCGGACGATTTTTGGACGACTTTGAAGCGGTAAAAATTGGTCATCGAAGGTTTGTTTTGAGTTTTTAATGGCAAAAAGGGTCTTAACTTGACCCAATTCAACATTGTGTAAACAAGTTAGGCCAAAATAAAATGGTCCATTTTCGTCTCAGGGGCTCTTTAAAAAGGTTGCCTTCTTTATTATTGTTTTAGCGATTTTTTTCGGTTGCTGCTTACATAATCCCTAAACAGTAAACTGGGAGTACAAACAAGCTATTCCCTCCACAAGCTAAGAAACTTTACCAGAAATCTAAAAAGAGAAAGCCATCAAAATTTACGACACACTACACTCAAACTACATTAAACTAAACCCGGTTTTTATCGCACGCCAAGTTTATTCTAGCAATACGGTCTCTGCCAGTCAGTTCTGGAGGTGCTCGTGCGCCTTAGTCTTAACAGACTACCTACGTATGAATAAAGGATCTTTTTTGCCATTGTGTACACCTTAGCTATCCCTACAATGTACCTATTGAATAGTTCAAATTTGAGAAGACGAAGAGAGAACCCTCCGGCTTAATAAAGAAACTACGAAAAGTTGTGTCTCATGATTGTTACGAATTTCAACTCCTGACGGGAGTCAGCGATCCAGTAGATTAGCGGATTCCTTTGGCTGCCAAGTCTTCTTTGACTCGTCGAAGATAGTCTGGGTCGGGATAACCGTACCTGTAATGATAATTACAGCCATAGCGATAATATTTGTAGTTTGCATTTCGCTGTTATCCGGCTTCGTATTAAAGCCGTTAAACCACATGACAAAAACGCTGCAACAACGGTAAACATACCGCTAGAGGATGTTTGAAATAATCTGTGTCGCAATCACAAAAGTTAAGCTTGGAAATTCAAATCTTTACAGCACCTTCGATTCTGAAGTATCAGTTTCGGAAGGTCAAGAATATCTTCTTGGTCTCTAGATAATACTACTTAACACTCACTCACCCTTGAGGACCTCCATGAGTATTGGTCTTGTGGTGAATAGTGTTCCACGTAATCTGATTTGACAACCCAGATGTTATTGTTGTACCCACAGTGAAAACCAACCGAGCATCAAAGGCTCTCTTCAAAAGGGCTAACACCTCCCTCCCCTCTTGGTTATCGGGTAGGTACGCAGAGCGACTGGTTCCAAAGTAGCTTTGGCCAGGGTTTGGATGCTCTGGGCCTTGTGTTCCGGGTGGAAAGTAATAGGTGATGAGGATTGTACCGAAGCCTGCATGTAAATTATACCCAGAAAATTACTGCCAGCGTTTGCTTTACCATAATGCGATTCAGAATAATTTTATAGCCCTAATTGTGGATGATAAAGTCAAATTTATAGAGAAAGCTAGTATAAAACCTCAGGAGCAGGTGAAGTTTTTGTAAATTAATCAAAGCATTAATTTATATTCTTACAAGTTAAGAAAATCTTTGACCACAGTTAGCGGAAATGACGCAATCTGATTGGCCAATTTGCCGTTGTCGATAAGAGTACAGACAACCCTGCTCATGTCAATTTGTTACGCATCGTGTCACGCATTGAAAGAATCGTTTTATTTGACGTCAATATCGTGTAAAAAAAATAATCGACCGTGGTTAGCGTGGTCTGTACTCTAATCAACAACGATACTCGCCATCACAGCTGTCAAAATTTGTTGCGGGTCCACAAGGCGCAACTTAACCACTGTCGATTGATAAATCTCAGCTGAGCTGCAATAAAAGAGATTGCGAAGGTGCGAAGGATTGATTATCAAATCGATTGATTTTTTATTTGGTATGGTTGAGTCAGGGTAATGGGCTCCTGGTTGCGTTCGACCAGGAGCGCAGTTACAACGAGGGGATCTTAAACTATTTAAAGTTAAAATACGTCACAAAATATCCCTATTGCATCAATAGTTATTCCGATACTTAGTATTTTGAGTTATAAGTTATTTATAGGTATTCTGTAACTTTATTACCTTTATAGCCTGGCAGACTCTGACGAAGTTTCTGAACCTGCATTTCTCCATTGGGCTGATTTCCTTGAACAGCACCTTGAGGTTCCTTACAAATTGGACACCTGTTGTCGTACTCTAAAACAGTTTCCACACAACTAGTGCAGAAGACGTGCTTACACTTTAAAGATCGAGCATTTTTCACGGTATCGAGACAAATGGCGCATTGGTCATCCTTACGAGCTCCTACAGAAGCAAATCCATGATATAAGTAATGTGAATCAGATATACCTAAATTCATGATCATAATTCCTTCTAGGAAATTATTACGACATAAGCAACAAAGGAGATAAAAAGGGATTGATAACCAATTCAAGTCTCTGTACCCGGAACGCTTTTATTACTCCAAAGAGTAAATTTACATGAAAGGTATTTTTTCCAAATTTAGACGAACAGCTTCAATATTTTTTTGTTCAGTCATCCAGTTGCACACCTAAAATATTTTGTTTATTAGCTGCATACAACTAATTGATAGAAAGGGTTAACAGTCATAATTTACGATAATTTTCGCCGTCATGAAAAATGAAATTACCTTCTGACGATGCTGAGGGCCCCCTTTCGCCATCACGTCTTTTTCTTTTCAATACATCGCGGAAGAAAATATCTAATGAGGTGATATCCGGCGATAGCGGATCATTCACATCATTCATTCCACTTGTTTCTTTCTTTTTATCCCTTTTTGGTCTCGATGGGTTGGATGTCTTCGGACCACCTGCCAGAAGGTTATCTTTTTGGATTTGGAAGAACTCCATGAATTCTCTCTTAAAAACTTTCACTGTTGCATCATCGATATTCACAAATCTTATATCGATCAAAGTCAACGTCGATGGATCTCTTTTCGTAAGGTATTCTTTCACGGCATCAAACATAACTTTTGCACAGACATCTTTCGGCATGCCATAGATTCCTGAGCTGATCGCTGGAAAGGCAATTGACTTATACTTTTTTCCGCTTGCAGCTGCAAGACTTTCAAGACAAGCCATTCTCAAAGCATTTTTACATTTTTCTTGTTCTGCTTTCCGCCAAATGGGACCAACTGCATGGATGATTCTTTTACATGGCAACTTACCAGCCCCAGTGGTGGCTACCTCTCCATCCTTCAGGCGGCCGTGTTGATGGATGTAGTGATCCGACTCTTTCTGTATACCATGGCCCCCTTTCTTGATAATTGCACCAGCGACTCCTGCACCATGATCCAGTCTGGCATTGGCTGCATTCACTATCGCATCAACTTGTTGATCCGTGATGTCACCCTTCACAACAGAAAGCTTCACTGAACCTGTACAATAAAACGAGCTGATTATAAATATAAAGGCCGTATCTTATTAGTTATATTACTTCGATGTTTATACTATCCAGTTTTTCCCATGTACTTTCCATATTTAAACATCCCGTGAAACAAATGAGGAGGGCTCAAAGTTTAATTTTGGTTTTGGAAGCACTTGCACTACCAGGTGTAAATTTTTAGACGCACTGCTAAAATTCTAGGTGAACAGCGAAAAATTTTAGGAACTCAGCCTAAAATAGTGGTGAAACCCAAAAAAAAAAGAAAGCTTCAGACGTTGTATAAGTAATAATTTAACGGTATGTTGTCTTTTATTTTAAATGAATCTGTGTTTGTTCCTACCTCCAGGCTATTACTCTACATTGGAGATAACAATAATACTGTTACGTTTTTTTTTTTAATTAACCTTCTCGATCTCAAGAAGTATTGCACTTCATGGTCCCGGTACATTCAAGGTAACAGAAAAATTCCGTATTCATTTCCTTTGAAATGAACGTGAATAACTAAGAAAATATACACTGTCAGTTTACTGCTCACAACTTTCATTTGATTTCCAATGAATATACTTTTAGTTTAAAGCTGAAACAGACTTGGACGTAGAACAAAGTGATTAATACAACATTAACTCGATCATTCGAAATCCGGTGAGTCCCACGAGTCAGCAACTGAAATTAGTTCATCTGGCCACCTTCTGTAAGCAAAGTTGGGACGCCTTGGTCTCTGATCGCTACGGTTCAAATAACAATCCCTGCAATAAACATGGCTCTATCAATGGAGCTGGACACTGATGAAGCTTTCGAGTTCGAAGCTGAAGAAGAAGGCGCCGGCCGGCTGTTGAATAACAAACTATAGTTATGCAAATGAGCGTTTCGTAAGAGAATAACATTGATTGCCATTGACTTAACTAAGACGTACGATACAATACAATAAAACAATTTATTATTCATCGTTTTATTTAAATTGTTCTCACCGTGAAGAAAAAAATTCTTTTAAACCAGGTTGTTTAGACATTCTTGCCTCTGGCTTGACCTTTCACATCGACCGGTGAACTTGATTGCCGAGAAGCACGTGCTTTAAAGGTAGCCTTGACTCGCATGCGTCAGCGGAGTATTCGCAAAACCGAACAGGGCTGGGATGGAATAGGAATATGGAGCACCGAGTTCGGAGAACCCACGGCAGAAAAAGACGAGTAAAACACACACTGGTGCAAGGAAAATGATAACTTTATTGTTTGCAGCCTGATTATGTCATACCTACGATTGAACTTATTAATTTAATATTCCGTTTCGTGTCCAACCAGTCGGAGTCATTTTAGAATGATCAGGTGAGAAAACAGAGTTGAGTGGTGATAAGCTCAGTCGCACTAATTTCTGGGATTTATAGGCGCGCAAGTGCGTTCACACATGAATTTTTAGGCGCACAATTAAAAATCTAGTTGCATGTGCGACCAGCTGGTCGCTAACTTTGAGCCCTGAATTGTGGAAATAAGGATTTTGTATTATACTTAACTAAGTTGGAGGTAAAAATCAGCACAATGCATTTATAGACCATCTACAGTAAGCAGTTTTCAGGGAAACGTGCATGTGGATGTTAGCTCAAAATAATTCCACGTTCGTCTTGTTCTTCAGCCTTTAAGTCTTATAGGCCTGTGTAAAAAGTGACTTTAGTTTTTCAAGACATTTAAGGATAAATGAGAATCATATTCATGGTCAACTAAAGAGAGTACAGCTAAATAATTCCTAGGTATTTTCTTCTTGTCAGGAAATTATACGGACAACGTTGATTAACAACGAATGTACATCTATCAAACACGCATTTCGCAGATATAAGAGATTGCTAGAAGCTTTTCTAACACTCCTGTACAGTTGATACTTCTTTATTCCTTGCTTTGATCTCTTAATACAACTTACTACTATCGGGACTAGCTCAGCTCTGAGTGAAAATGTTGTTCACCAGCTTATAAAGGTGATACTTATTAAGCTGTCAATCTTCATGCATCATCATTGTTTTTATCTTAACTAGCGAATCATGCTAAGTTACGTTAAACAGTCCCTGTATACTAAGTATGTACTTTCGAGTTGTTTACGCAGTTACAAAATCGTTTTCTACCTTAAATTTCTTACATTTCCAGTTTTAATTAGTTCCGGTAAAACAAAAACAAGATTGGCAATATTAAAAAAAAATATAAAGAAACCGTTGCGTGGATTAGAATTGCACTTAAAAAGATAACTAAAACGAAAACAGTCCTTGAACTTTGTTACATAACAACAGAATAAACAGAGGATTCGAGGAAGAAGGAGTGTACACAAGTACCGCCCCCTTACGGTCACCTTAAAGAAAGAGGTGTCAAATTAAAATTTAAGAAATATTTCCTTGATCGTGAATTTGACATAGAATTTAATCTAAAAACGAGCCTGAAAATAGTAGAAAGTATAACAAGTAGAAATTTCCTGGAATTCCTCTACGAGTCTAACTTTTACCAGAGCGATTTACTCTCTTCTTTATCAAACAGATCAAAATAATTGAAATATAGCTTACTGCGAGATAACCAAAATATTCTATCACAAGTTGTAATTACCGTAGAAACTGAACATCTGCTTTCAAGTCTAAATTAACGACCACAATGAGAAAAAGTTGACAGAAATTCTACCTGAAAGTTATGACCGCCAAAACGAATGGAAAGGATCAACTTTGCTTAGTTATAATTTCTGTACTGAATGGCTTATAGTATTTCCTTTTATGTTCTTAACACTTAAATAAGTTTAAAAACACACTTCATAAAAATTCTTGCTAAATGCCAATTTTGTCTTTTAACAAGACGCATCAATTCTGCACTTACCAAGTTTGTGTTCCAACGAATCACCACCATCAGAATCGTCGTCACCCTCACCTGTCCAATCCCCGTTCCAACCCTCAGGCTCCGGTGCAGTATGATTATAATCAGACGCTCGGTGAGGAGATCGCTGAGAAATTTATCCACCAAACAATCTTCGCCGTAGACTTTCCAGTGTTTGCGGTCCTCGCATTTTTCAACCAAGACGGGGTGTGTCTTGCCTATGTCCCTGATACGTTGCCTCACACGTGTTGGTGTTTCCTCGTCTCTCGGAATAAATTGTTCGAGCTTCATGCGCTTATGAACATCTTGATAAAGAGTAATGAAAGCATCGCATCCCTCATCAAATTCTTTAACAGTGCAGCGTCCGGTTGGTGCCACGATGACTTTGTTATCAACGGCTTCTCTATGCACTTTTACTCTAAAATCCTTTTCGATTCTCTGTAAGTCTTCGCCATGGGCTCTGACGAACAAAGGGAAAAACCTCTTCGTCGTTTCGTACTGTTGAGGTTCCAAATTTGAAGATTCTTCCTCTTCAAAGTTATTTTCGTTACCTGAGCCTTTTACAGCGCCTGCTTCCTTCTCATTTTCCAAGTGACCAGTCTCATTTGATGTAGGACTTGAAAATTTCTCTGGATGCTTCGCTGATCTCCTTTTCTTCTCTGACTCATCGGAAATTTACGGTCTCAAATCTAAATTCTGAACCACATTTCTTAAGTAGTGGCTGAACAGATCTCGACTCTGTTTTACTTGTTGGAAACTCCCTGAAAGTAAAAACCCTTCACTTGTATCGTGGAACTCGATGTCAGTCTCCTCCTTAACTTTGTTGCGAACAAGTTCTTATAAAGGTGATACTTACTAAGCTGTCAACCTGTACTTTCACCTTTAAACATCCCGTGAAGTAAATGTGGAAATTAAGATTTTATGTACTCTACTTACGTTAGTAGCAATAGCTAGCTCCCCTGAGTGCGTTAACACACTGTGATCTACTTAAAACAATTTTAGGGAAGCCTGTATGTGAACGTTGGCTCAAAGTAATATTAAGTTCGTCCTGCTGCTCAGTCTTTGAAGTCTCAAGCTTGTGTTTATCTAACACGCATTTGCAGATACAAAGAGATGCATAAATGCTGCACTTACCCAGTTTGTGTTCCAACGGATCATCATTATCAGAATTATCGTCACCCTCATCTGTCCAATACCTGTTCCACTAAAAGAGTCAATCATAGTTGTTTTGAAGGTTTATCCGCGAAAGTGAATCGATTTTCTTAGTGTAGCCAGTTTCTAATGAAATACAACTTTAAAGCGTAAAGTGAATTCAGTGAAGAAATCATGGGGAAGTTCAGGGATCCAGCGAGAATTACATCAGCGGTGGTGACTTTTCAACAAATATATCAAGCTCATATTCATGTAGATTACGTTCTTTCAATTGAAACTGCTTGGAAGTTTAAGGAACATGAAAAACGATACCTGATAAAATGCCTGTGGTTCTCTCTTTCTCACTCTTAAAGTGAACGGACTGTCCTTGATGGCTTCACCACGGACAGTAACGGATATTTTGAAGTCACCTGTTGTCTCACTTCTGTACTTTACCTGATATCGGCCATTCTTTGAGTCTGTCACGCTGGCTATCAAAGTCCCTTTTTTATTGATAGAAGTTATTTCAACATTGACCTGATCGATTTCGCTATAAACTATTTGGCCCTCGATATCTTTTGTAATCACAGTAAATGTGCTCTCTTCTCCTTGGATGGCCTCAGTCAAACCTTGACCTTCCACAACAGATACCATAGGTTCCGAAACTGTCCTTATCAGCTTTCCAGGTCCGTCTTTCAAGCAACTGAAATCATTTGAACTGTACATAACTTCAGGGAAATCCAGTGTAGGTTCAAAAGGCACGGATAGTTCCTGCAGTCTGTTCTCCAACATTTCTTCGACGTTTAATATTTCTGGTAGATTCTTACGAGAAAGAATTTCCTCGCCAAATTGCAGGCTGCTGTCGATGTCCACCAGTCTATCATCCAAGCTCGACATCTGGTTTGAAAATTCAGCTTTAAATGCCTCTTTCTGCTTCATTAACTTTTCTGTGATGTCTGTTTCATGCTTACGAATGAATGTGATCCATTGTTCTGCAATTACGCGTACACTGTTCGTTGCTCGCTCAAAGCTGTCGATTACTTTGGATCTACGTTTCTCCAACGATTCCTTTTTGTTTCTCAAGTGAGATCCGTTCGACTGAACCTCTTGTATCCTATTCTTAATTTCAGTTGTCTTATTTTCTAGTCCTTTCTCGAGTGAAATTTTCTTGTGGTCGTCGTGATCCAATATGGCGCAATCACGACAAATGCAAATTCGACATGCTAAACAGAAAAATCTAAATTCGTCGTCGTGTTCCTTGCAAACGTTTGCTTTCCGAGAGTAGTCATCTACATCACGAGACTGAAGTTTTCCGATTTCCTTAAGTTGATGGCCTCTGAAGTCTTTCCATTTCTTGTGTAATGCAGCGCATTCTTCGCACAGTAAACAGTTGCAATTAGAGCAGTAAAACTTCAGCGATTTTTGTTCGTCGCATTTCCCGCAACATGATGATTCTTCTTGACCAGTGTATGCCTCCACAATTTCCACCATTTGTTTGTAAAACAGGTTCGACGGAAGACTGTCGATATCATTGTTAGGGCACTCAGTTTTTGTTCGGCAAGTCGGGCAACTCAAAGCTTCCTTGCGTTGTTGTCGAAGCCAACCTTCCAGACATGATTTACAGAACGTATGAAAACATTTGAGTATTTTCGGTTCCTTGTTTTCGCCAAACTGTTCCTGACACACTGGGCATTCTACTTCCTTTTTCACATCATCGAAGAAGCTTTTACTTTGCGCCATAGCTTCTAATGAGGCAGCGGGAGAAATTCGCTTTGTAATAGATCTAGATTTACAGTTTCGTTTTATCGCAGGCGGCCCAAGGGTACTGACTGTGTGTGATCTTGGGGTCTAAAGTCAACTTTATAAAAGGAAAAATTATATAAAAAAAATTAAGAAAACATTTCAAAGGACAATAAAAGCGAGAAATATATGGTATGAAGTATCCTTACTTTTTTCCCGTGGCTACTTTGTCCTTTACGGTCCTTTTAACGCTGTTTTGGCCACTTTGTTTGTAACGCGTGCGGTGTTACCAGTCAACTGAAAATAGAAAAATTATTCAGTTGGCCGGTAGCACTACACGCGTTACAAAGAAAGTCGCCAAAACAGCGTTAAAACGACTGCTAGCAACAAAGCGGCTACGGAAAAAAGGTAAGGAGACTTCACTCGTGTTATTCCTCGCTTTTATTATTCTTTTTAACTTTATTGTTATAATTTTTACGCTTGGGCTGCTTTTGGTTTTACACTAATTCACTTGGATACGCACAGGCAGCCCAAGCTCACTCCTAGAAAAGCGGACGTGATTCTTACCGTGTTGCGTAACGTTTTATTTTTATAAAGGTTTGTATGGGATGTTATCGGTTTGCCTTAAAAGAGAGAAAAAAATGTCTTGTTTTGAAATAAAATGGGCTTACCTTATTGCCTTGTTGTTTTCTTTGTTGATTCCGAGCGTCTCAGGCCATTTTGAAGCGTTTTCGGCGAGTTAGCGCTATGTTGGTGTTCAACTGCTAAAAGAAAGACAAGGCCGGAAACCTATTTTAGAAGCGTCCGTCGCCCGAAGCGAATAATTCCGCCAAAAAATTACCACCAGTCTCGATTCCTCCAGAAAATCAAAGCAGAGATGTTGCAGTTCCATTTTCCATTCACTCGATTCACAATTCCTCCCACAGATCTTTCACTAGCGATACTTTTATCTCCAGATCGATCGGCTTTCCAATTTCGAATTTGGCTGCTTGAAACGTTCGCGGCCCGTTCGCCGATCGCACAGTATGTTGGGTAACAAAAATAAGCCCGGCGAGGGTAGCCAGCGGCCTGCAGTCCAAAAACAAACCCGTTAGCTCCCCTGGTCCCCTCGAGAGGTTTTGTCAAGACCGCATTGTTTTGATCGACCAATCAACATCGAATGGAAATGTGTTTACTAATTTATTGTTTTTGGACTGCAGGCCGCTGGCTATCCTCGCCGGGCTTATTTTTGTCACCCAACATACTGTGCGATCGGCGAACGGGCCGCGAACGTTTCAAGCAGCCAAATTCGAAATTGGAAAGCCGATCGATCTGGAGATAAAAGTATCGCTAGTGAAAGATCTGTGGGAGGAATTGTGAATCGAGTGAATGGAAAATGGAA